TATATATTATTTTTACAACAGCTTCTATATACTGATTTCCTCCTCTGTCCCAGTTAACTACATAGGTGAAATAATATAGTTAAAGGCTAAGGAAGCTATCATGAAGTCCATTTTACAAATGTGAAAGAAGCCAACAACTTAATCCTAAGACTATTATGCATGATGTTTATAATGCCCCTTTAGGAAAAAGCTAAGAACATTAAGAAAACCATCCCCAAATCTCTGTTAATTCTTGAGCAAAAGATTAATGCAAGAACAGCTTGATTTGCCATTTCAGACCTGAGGTGTCCAAAATAACAGAAGATACTAATTTCGTTATCAAACTCAGAATACATGCTGTGTGTAATATTCTTGAGAGAAATTTCCATAAACATTCATGTTTATGAATCTATTCATGCATCTAGAATCATAAAAATATTACACTTGAGACTAAATGCTTTTTAGTACCAAAATTAATCTCAGATGATAATCATTGAGTGATTTCCTTCATAAAACAGGAACATATAATTGAGAAGGTATGTAACAGTCACCCTAAATTTCAAATAAATTATTTCAATTTCTAAATATGTCAGTTTCAAAATACACAAAGGAATCATCTTGTACTTGATAAATGAAAGGATTATTTTACTTACAAAAGCCATTGAAGAAAAGGGAAAATCACTATTGAAAATATTTAAACATATAAAATAAATGGAAAATATCATTTTTTAATTATATAACATATTCTGAAAAAGACAGAAGTTTTATTAGAATAATAATTCTGATAGCTGTCTTTTCAATATTCGGATAGTAAAACTGTGAAAGAACCTTAAAGTTTATCTAGCCTAACCAATAGCTCACAAAGATGAGGTTCAGAGAAATAAAGTAACTTGATCAAGGTCCCATAATTATTAAGAGGTTGAAGAGCAAAAAGATCCGATTCTACACCTACAATCTTGATTTTTAAAAGATATTATTCTAATTTAGTTGGCTAATTATAGTACACTCCTTTGGGGTTCAATGGACATTATTTGCTGGACCCCCAAGGATTCCAAAATTCAAGGATGCTTTAGTCTCTTATATAACCTATGCTTTTCTTTTGGAATACTTTAAAACATCTGTAGATTACTTATAATTAATGCTATGTGAATAGCTGTTATATTGTGTTCTTTAGAAAATGACAAGGGAAGAGAGAGTCAAGATGGTGGAATAGGGAGGGAACTTACTGCTCTAGTATAGGGGAATATAGTTAAAAAAAAAAGTGTAAAGACCACAGTCACAGGTAAGAGTTAGAGAGAAAATGGCAGAAGAAACTCCAAAAATTTAGAGGGGCACTGTGGACCTACATGGAGCGGGTGGACGTGCACAACTCAGGACCCCAGCAGCTGAGAGCCTCAGCACCAGCTGTGGAGTGAGGTGAAAACAGACTGGAGTAGCCTAAGCCACTGGCAATAAAGCTGCAGGAAGAGCCTGGCAGGGGTCGGGCTTGGAGCACTATGGGTAACAGTATACCTGCTAACCTAGAAAAAAAAGGGGGTACATTTCTCTTTCCCCAGCACTAGCATCCTGTAACTAGCCGAGAGAGGGCATGTTGCATTTTTGGATATATACAACAGTTGTGCCAGCTCCTGTTTGCACACCCACCAACTGACAGGAGATGCCTGAGTCTGGCTGGGAAAACTGACAGAGGGCTGGGCGCTCGTGACTGTGGGAGCCTTGTGTGCTGGGACTGCGAAAACACTGTGGCTGTGTGGGAGAGCGTAGGGTATGGCCCGGACTTTGGACAATCACTGTTGGCGGCTCTACATACTTGGGTCTTCCTTATTTCCTGGTGAGGGTCACTGCTGCAGGATCTATGATCATACTGAGGACTACAAGAATCCTTTGTGTGGTTCTTGTGATAGCATGGATGAAAACTGTAACCACCGGGGCCAGCGCCCAAGTACTGGTCTCCTTTGAGTAGAGGAGGTGGCGTGAGACTATGCCAACAGAGCTGAGGAAGCCTCCCCTCCACTAAAAGGAAAAAAACAAAAAAGATTTACCATGCCCAACTTGGGTGTCAACATGGACAACTACCCTCACCTTGAAGCACTGAACAGAGCTCCATGACCACAAGCCTCTGTGAAACAACAGACACTGTACTCTAAGCCACAGAGGCATAGTTTAAAGATGAAAGCCATCACAGGAAAACAACAACAACAACAAGAATCACCAGATGCCTAATAATATATGCAACCTTTTAGGAAACAAGAATAAGGAAGACAATATGATGTGCTCAAAACATCAAAACACTTCAATACTAGAATATGAAGATGAAGAAACCAAGGAAATGCCAGAAACAGAATTCAAAAAATTGATTGTAGAATTAATCAGAAGCAAATTCATGAACTAAAGAAATCTGTACATGACATGAATGAAAATTTTCCCACAAAATTGAGATTTTAAAGAGAAATCAAAATGAAATATTGGAAATGAAGAATTCATAGAACAAATAAAAATGCAGTGGAAAGCCTTAACTATAGACTTGGTGAGGCAGAAGAAAGAATATCTGAGATAAAGACAAATCTGGAAATTTTACAGTCAGACCCAAAAAAGAAGAAATTAGAAAACTAAAAACAGTGGTAGAGATCTATAGGATAATATCAAATAACCCAACATATAGGTCTTAGGAGTTCCTGTATGCAAGGAAAGAGAGAATGAATTAGAAGGCCTTTTTAGTGAAATAATTACAGAAAACTTTCCCAAATTGGAGAGAAAAAGGGACGTCCAAGTACAGAAAGCACATAGTACTACTAACAGACATGACCAGAAAAGATCTTCACCACGAAACACTGTAGTCAAACTCTCCACAGTAAAACATAAAGAAAAGATTCTAAAATGTGCATGAGAGAAACGGCAGATTACTTTCAGAGGATCTCCAATTACATTCACAGATAACTTCTCATCAGAAACCCTACAGGCTAGGAGAAATGGCAAGATATAGTCCAAGTCTTAAGAGAAAAAAAATGTCAACCCAGAATACTGTGCCCTGAAAACCTCTCATTTACGAATGAAGGTGAAATAAAGACCTTCCATAACAAACAGAAATTGAAGGAATTTGTCACCACCCACCCAGCCTTACAAAAGATGCTTAAGGACATGCTACACAGAGAAACACAGAAACATGGTCGTCACCATGAAAGAAAGCAAACGTGGCCGGTGCCATGGCTCAATTGGCTTGGGGAGTGAACCAATGGAAGGAAGACCTTTCTCTCTGTCTCTCTCACTAACTCTGCCTTTCCAAAAAAAAAAAAAAAAAAAAAAAAAAAGCAAAGGTAAAAAAATCTCAAAGGAAATCCAAAGTAAACAATAGGAATATTTATGGGAAAATGGCAGGCCCAAGTCATTAGGTATCTATAGTCACCTTGAATGTGAATGCCCCCAACTCTCCAGGAAAAAGACATACAGTGGAGTGGCTGAATGGATTAAAAAACAAAACCCAACTATTTGCTGCCTAAAAGAAACACAGCTCACCAACAGATACCCACAGACTGGAAATGAAAAGATGGAAAAAGATATTCCATGCTATCAGAAACCAAAACAGCTGATGTAGCCATTCTAATATCAGACAAAATAGACTTTAACATGAAAACTATTAAAATAGACAAAGAAGGGCACTATGTAATGATTACGGGATCAATTTAACAGGAAGATGTGACTATTATAAATGTACGTGCACCTAATTAAAGGGCACCTGGATATTTAAAACAAATGTTAATGGATCTAAAGGGAGATATACTCCAATATAACAGTATAGGGGACTTCAATACTCCACTTTCAGTAATGGACAAATTAACTACACAGAAAGTCAACAAACAACAGAGTTAATCGATACTATGGACCAAAAGAACCTAACAGATATCTACAGAAATTTTCATCCTACAGATGCAGAATAAACATTCTTCTCACCAGTGCATGGAACTTTCTCTAGGAGAGACCACATACTAGGCCATAAAGCAAGTATCAGAATATTTAAAAATAAATCAAAATCACACCATGTATCTTCTCTGACCTCAATGCAATGAAGATGGAAATCAACAGTAAACCAATGGAAAAGGAAGACCTTTCTCTCTCTCTCTCTCACACTGTCTAACTCTGCCTGCCAAAAATAAATAAATAAATAAAAATTTAAAAAACAATTAAAGAAAGGAAGAGAGAAGATTAAAAAAAATGGAAAAATCTTCCATGTTTATGGATTGGAAGAATTAATATCATCAAAACGTCCATATAACCAAGAGCAATTTACAGATTCAATGCGATACCAAGGACATTCTTCTAAAGACACAGAAAAAATGATGCTGAAATTCAAAAGACACACAGGAGACCCCGAATAGCTAATGCAATTGTATACAACAAAAACAAAGCTGGAAACATCACAGTATCAGATTTAAAAGATATACTACAGGGCAGTTATAATCAAAACAGCCTGGTACTGTACAAAGACAGATGGATAGACGAATGGAACAGAATAGAAACGCCAGAAATCAATCTGTGCATCTACAAACAAGTTATCTTTGACAAAATGTACGAAGGATGATATAATAGCTGAACTGTTCCAACTTAAACTCACCACTTTATCCATAAAGTCCCTGAAATATTTTCATGGTATCCTAATTCTCAGAAACAGTTTATTTCCAATGGACAAATTTCAGTGTTCTAGAGCAATGCTACTCAAAGCATGTTTTCCAAACAATTGGTATCATTGAGGAGCTTGTACAAACTCTAATTCATGCCTACTAAAATAAATCACAACAAGTGCATGTCATAAGATATCTGATGATTTTCTATTAACATTATTAACACACACTCATAAAATGCAAGCCCAAAATTGTATGAGTCACATGACATGCAATTACCACAGTTATCTTGTAAATCTAGAGATCACGCATTGGATAGCAATATTCTCTAACAAACCAAGCCTTAAAGGATATACCTGTCAAATCATAACAACTGATATACTAAAAAAGAATCTAGAAACTTACTTTTTATCAAAGAATGTTGAATTCTCTTTCCTCTTGGTGAATCCATTGGGTAAAAGTTTTAGATTAATACCTTGCCTTCGGGCACGATTTTTCAAAAAGTACATCTGCCAAAACAAATAGAAATTTAAAATTTAAAACACTTTAAATATCAGAAGTAATACAATGTTCAAAACCATTACTTACCATGTTTCACACACATACACATATACATACACATATACATGTGTCTCCCACTGCCTCTCAAATAAAAATTAAAAAAAAAAATCCTCATTCACATTACACCAACAGATAATAAAAAATTTAAAAGATGCCCAGTTAAAACAGCAGCAAAAATTAAGTGCTCAGGAAGAATTCTAACAAACACATGTAAGACATTTACTGAGAAAATTACATACAAAGAGATGTTAAAGGAAACCCGAACAAATGCAAACAGCACTGAATAGCTATCTATACTTTCACCCATGAGTAAAATGGGGGGACTAACAGATAACAAATTTCAGTTAAAAAACAATTAGAGAGGACAGAGAGAGGTTGGTGATGGGTACAAAAACACAGTAACATAGGAGGAAGAAGTTCTAGTGTTTTATTGCTCAGTGTGATGACTAGTTAACAATAATTTACTGTAGGTTTCCAAATGGCTAGAAGGATTGATTTTGAAATGTCCTGATAGAAAATGTTTGAGAAGTTGGGTATATAAATTACTGGGTTTCGATCATTACTCATTGTATATATGTATCTAACCAACATACTATATCCTATAAATATGTAGAATTATTATGTGTCATTTAAATTTATTTAATTTGCAAAAGAAAAAAACTACAATAAAGTATAGATAAGTAAACCAACAGAATGGAATAGACAGACCAGATACTGTCCCAAGCATCTGAATGCTTGATATATGACAAAGGTGGTCCTGCAGAGCGGTAAAGAAAGGATGAACTTTGAAATATTGGTGTGAAGAACTGGATTATCCTTATGGAAAGTCAAAGGGACTTCTACTTTATAAGATCAACTGCAGGCAGTTTAAAGGACATATGTGTGAAATATAATACTATATGCTTTCAGAAAATAATTACGGGAGAGTATCTTCATAACTTCAAAATAGGGAAGAATTTCTTTATAAACACATATAACTATCAACTTAAAGAAAACAAATGAAAAATTTGGCTTATTAAAATTTAATAATATTTTTCTCCAAAGACACTATAGAGTGAAAAAATAAGCCACAGAACAGAAGATAACTGTAATATATGATCAGTTCTTTACTAGTATCCAAGAAATACAAAGATTTTCTATAAACCAGCAGGGTAAAGAAAGTTAACAAATGAAAAGATGAGCAAAAGACTTGAACAGGCATTCCACAAAAGAGGAAATCCATAGAAATAAGTAAAATGTTTGAAGAGTGTTTAACCATTCCAAGAATCAGATGGCAAAGTTAAGGAGCCAACATGGCCATCAGCATCACATATAAGCACCAGTTAAGAGTCTTGGCTGCTCCACTTTCCCCCTGGCTCTTTGCTAATGCACCTGGGAAGGCAGTGGAAAATGGCTCAAGTAATTAGGCCCCTGCTACCCATATGGGAGACCTGGATAGAGTCCCCGGCTCCCAGCTTTTGGCCTGGCCCAGACCCTGCTGTTGTGGCCACTGTGGAGCAAACTAGCAGATGAAGACATTCCCTACTCCCTATAATTCTAAAAAACAAAAGGCTTGTGCAAATTTTAAATCACAAAAATTACATAGTCATCAGACTGACAAAAGTTCTGACTAAAAAGTATTATAGAGAATGTAAGAATGCATACATTTACACACTTCTGGTGGGGGTGTAAACTGGTATGTATAACCACTTTAGAAAAGGTCTTGATGTCAATTAGACAAACTGAAGATGAAGGTATGAATACTCCACACAAAGAAATTCCTCACCCAAGTACAAATACCAGAAAAAAACATGTGCATATGTAAACTGTAATTCTTTTTTTTTTTTTTTTAAAGATTTATTTATTTGGGGTTGGGTCTGTGGCGCAGTGAGTTAACGCCCTGGCCTGAAGTGCCAGCATCCCATATGGGTGCCGGTTCAAGACCTGGCTGCTCCTCTTCCAATCCAGCTCTCTGCTATGGCTTGGGAAAGCAGTAGAAGATGGCCCAAGTGCTTGGGCCCCTGTACCTGCGTGGGAGATCCAGAAGCTCCTGGCTCCTGGCTTCAGATCAGCGCAGCTCCGGCTGTTACAGCCAACTGGGGAGTGAGCCAGCGAATGGAAGACTATTCTCTCTCTTTCTCTCTCTCTCTCTCCTCTCTCTGTAACTCTGACCTTCAAATAAATAAATAAATCTTTTTTTTAAGAGAGTTTTTTTTTTTAAAGAGTTTTTTTTTTAAAGAGATTTTTTAAAGGGGGGGGGAGGGAGAGAGAGAGAGAGAGAGAGAGAGAGTGAGAGTGTGTGAGAGAGAAAGAGAGAGTGAGAGGTCTTTAATCCACTGGCTCACTCCCCAGTTGGCTGCAATAGCCAGAGCTGAGCTGACCAAAGCCAGGAGCCAGGAGCTTCTTCTGGGTCTCCCATGCGATTATAGGGGCCCAAGGACTTGGGCCATCTTCCACTGCTTTCCCAGGCCATAGCAGAGAGCCGTATGGGAAGTGGAGCAGCCAGGACTCGAACCAGCACCCATATGGGATGCCAGCACTGCAGGTGGTGGCTTTACCCAGTACACCACAGCACCAGCCCCCACAAACTGCAATCAAAAGCACAAGTGTTCATAGTAGCACAGTTTCTAGATTTTTTTGTCATTAAAAAGTCTAAGAACAAAAGAATGGACACATAAACTGGGACATGAACCTAAGAGACAACATTCAGAAATGAAAAGAGATGAAGGAAGAGCACAAGAAGTTGGCAGGTAACTTTTTGGAAAGCTGGTTATGGTCTAATTCTACACTGGGTAGATATAAACATGGTCACTTTATAATTATTCATTAAATTGTATTTCTAATTCATAATTTTTTACATGTATGCTTATTTCATAATAAAAAATTAATTTATCTTCAGGTAGAATTTTAATTCTAACTAATTAAACTTGAGAAAAAATAGTCAATCAGCAGTAGTTTCAAGATATACGTAATGTCAGGGCTGGCGATGCGGTGTAGCAGGTTAAGCATCCTCCTGTGGCACTGGCATTCATATGGATGCTGGTTCTGTCCCAGTGCTCCTCTTCTGATCCATCTCTCTGCTATGGCCTGGGAAAGCTGAAGAAGATGGCCCAAGTGCTTGGGCCCTTGCACCCGTGTTGGAGACCAGAAGCAGCTCCTGGCTCCTGGCTTCAGACAGTCTCAGCTTTGGCCACTGTGGCCACTTAGGGAGTGAACCAGTGGATGGAAGACTTCTCTCTAGGTCTCTCCCTGTGTATGCAACTCTGCCTTTCAAATAAATAAAATCTTTACAAAATAAATATGGGTAATGTCATGTCTGTACCAACAAAGAAAGTTATTTAATTAGTATTAAAATTCTTCAATACTAAAATGTTCTGAAAAATGAACATAATTCTATGATGTGATTGAAGACAGAAATAACAAAGATTTAGAATAATATTACTTGGGAAAGTATTTCAAATTTTACAAAGTGCTTAAGGAATAAAAAGGGGATGCAAGAGTATGAAAATCAAATTCATCAGAACAGTAAGTCCTGCTAGCACTTCCTTCAAAACTGGACTTGAATCACTTGTTAATAACTAAAAGTTTCCATTTTTCCTTAGACTACATTCGGAACACCCTGGTTTCCCTAACTCTCTGTTCCACATTCTCTTCTTTACTTACTTCAGTCACTCTGCCCCTCTTTTAATTCCCTGAACCAACCAACCTTCTCAGATGCTTACTTTTGCATTCATCTCTACCTGTAACAGTCTGCCTCAAGTCACATGACCATCTCTTTCCTATCATTCAGATCACTATGGAAATCTCTCATGCTTTTGCTGACCACTGTATTGAAAATAGTACTCTGATTATCTTCTAACAAATAGCATTTTCATTCTCTTTAATCTCGTGAACTATATATTTTACAAGCATTTAACTTGCTCTGAAATTATATTTGTTTCTCTATTCACCTTCTGTCTCTCCCACTCATTTCTTCTCTGTCCCAGTATAATATAAACTCTACAGTATTTTTGGTTACTACTGCAGCCCTAGTAACTATAATAGCTCAAACCACAGCAGTCACTTAATTAAGGGGGAAAAAAATGAAAGTGGAAGAAATTATAACTGTAAGAAATTAGGATACTTACATGTTTATTGCTTATTGGTCTTTTTAAGAAAATATCTCTAGAAATATGGTCTGCTGTTCTTGCCACATCTTCCAAAAATCTATAATCTAAAATTTCAATTAGAAATTTTAATTAGAAAATAAACAAATGACATCTACTAATGACCGGTAGACATCAACCTGCTACATATATATATATATATATATATATATATATTTAAGATGGCTTACCACTTAGTAGATTCATTTCAGTAAACTGTTGTATGGAAACATATGCAGTTTTATTTCTAACTCCATTACATGTCAGTTCCACTTTGTGTTTCTTTACACAGGGCAAACTGAAGAACAAAGAGGAAGTGCTTTTATATTTTAAAGCAAGAAAGACACAGGTAAAGGCACAGGTAATAAGGAAAGAAGTGACATACATACCTGCAGGAGTATCGCATACAACGTGGACATCTGTACTTTGCTTCTTCTGTACCACAAGTTTCACACCTATAAAAGTTCACACAGAACTTATTGACTTATTAAACATTAATTCTACTTACCTATTTATAAACTTTGAATGTGGATTCAAATGTTACAATTTCTAGATATATAATGAATAAAGTAAAAGTAATCTGATATTTAATACCTTTCAGTTTGAAAATCCTCGAAACTGTGTCCAAATACAATGTTAATGACACATAATTCAAGAAAATATGTGTTAAATTATTTTACAAATCACCTCACTTTTGACTCTTTTTTTTTTTTTTCTACGTTAATCAGAGATGGGATTATTCACTAATATTTTAACTTGTAATTCCTGGCAATCTAATAGTAAGTGTGTGCCAGAGGTCCAAACTATGGGCTATGTTTTTATATTTTAAAAGCACACACACAAGAAATAGAATGCAGTATTAGACCCAGTCAAATTTACAAGGTAGCTGTAGCATCTTTTTTCCTCAACTCCAATCCTAACCTAGGATGGGAATCAAAATAACCTAGAAATGTTACTACCCATCAGTTCTTGTCACCTGCTCTTCTAGAAGTTCTGAATGCTGACCACATAACTACATTTCTTCTATTTGGTCCACTGTGTCCTAGACAGCAATGTTCCCAAGAATTTGACGATTACTGATTTCCCATGTTGTCACATGATCACATGTTCGCCGTACCCATATAGAAGCTTGACAGCTGAGTTCAACTGCATTTTGATCTAATTTTAACATAGCCCACTTCATCACTGTTGGTTTTATTAGACTCCCTCAGTTCTCTCACAAAAGAATAAGGAGTCAAGAACATTACTAAGTTAGCAGATCCGGCTCCAAAGGGTCTTCTGGTCCCCAGAGTTTTTACTTCCTAACTTGGTCACTACTCATTAGACACTGCCACTGAATCTTCTGGCTGGCAACACCTCTCCCTTTCCAACCCCTTCCCTCCTGGAATCTTACTCGGACTCCGGGAAACCAAACTTGCGCCTACTGTTCCTTACTCCACCTTCTGCGGATGGTGCGTTCCTTCACTCTGGGCAACACAGGACTCCACAGTTTTACTGCCTCAACGGGATTTCCCGCTGCCCTACCTTGACATGGCCAGCTTCCGCTTGCAGCCCACCGAGGCGTTCACCTGCGGCTCTTCGCTATCCTTTGAGTCATCCGTCACTGCTTTCTCCAGGAAATCCTTCTCTTCTTTCACATGCTCCCCGTCCAGCACCTTCTCCTCTTTTACGCTCGCCCCAACACACAGCTCCTCTTTTATCTCCAACTTGGCCTCCCTCTCTCCCTTCACTTCCGGCCAGTCTATCCCCTCTTCCTTCACCTCTAGTTCATCCACCCTCTCTTTTTTCACCAACAAACTGTGGTCCACCTCCTGCTTCACCTCCAATACACCTGCTTTCTCATCCTCCGCCTCCTGCTTTACCCCCTGGCCACCCGTCACGCCTTCTTCTGCATCCGAGCAGTCCATAATTTCTTGCTTCACAACCGTCAAGTCCATTCGCATTTCCTCTGCCCTTTGTCCACCCCCTTCCTCTTCATCCTCTGTCTTCCTCACTTCTGTCAGTCCATCTGGCATCCCAGGTAAGTCCCTGTCTCTCTCCCCCTCTGACTCCGGACAGAGCCGCGCCCCCTCAGCTACCCTCCGGAGACCTCCTTCCGAGGTCCCTCCACTTTCCGCAGCGAACTCCATCAGCTCACGACCGCCGGCCTCCGCCGTCACTCCGTCTTGCAATGTGGGCGCTCCACGAGAGCAGGAAGAATTACCAGCTGCCAACACAGAAACCCTCCCACGTGCGTACCACACCGGCAAGCAGAAGCCAAAAACGCCTGTGCTTGAGATCTCCGGGACCGCCGTAAAACCACGCTTCCGCACTTCGCCACTTTACGACTTTTAGCGCTCTTTACGGCTCTGCGGCGGTCCGTCCCGGATCCTCCGAGAGGGCCTGCGTGAGGCCACACCCTGTGGGACTCCCGCCTCTGGGGCGGGGCTACTGTGCACGCTGGAGCCGGTGGGTAGCGGACCGCACTCCACTTCCCCAGTGCAAAGCTTGACGTTCTCGGCGTGAAGAGAGGGAATCCGAACGCTTGCAGTCGTGAAATGTGAAGACCCACCCTAATCGGTATCAACAGTTAAATCCAATCTATAAAAATAGAGGACACGCAAAGTTACGCCTTTCCAAGCCTCAGTGTCTTCACCCGTGGCAAGGTTGGTATTGCAGCCTTCCTAGTGCTCCTGCGAAGATGAGTCATGCGTGAGAACCAGCTAGCCGTGATTTAACACGAATTCAGTATATGATGGTCGATATTACTAGGGATCGCGATAGGTTTCAGATAGAAGGGACGCTGTTTGATTCTTTCAACACTTTAAACAGCCCTCATATCTGTTCCCCAGTGCCAGTATTCTATAGGTTCATTGAAAGAACACTTTATATTATTTTTTTATTTTTATTTTTTTTTATTTTTGACAGGCAGAGTGGACAGTGAGAGAGAGAGACAGAGAGAGAAAGGTCTTCCTTTGCCGTTGGTTCACCCTCCAATGGCCGCCGCTGCAGCCGGCGCACCGCGCTGATCCGATGGCAGGAGCCAGGATCCAGGTGCTTTTCCTGGTCTCCCATGGGGTGCAGGGCCCAAGCACCTGGGCCATCCTCCACTGCACTCCCTGGCCATAGCAGAGAGCTGGCCTGGAAGAGGGGCAACCGGGACAGAATCCGGCGCCCCAACCGGGACTAGAACCGGGTGTGCCGGCGCCGCAAGGTGGAGGATTAGCCTATTGAGCCACGGCGCCGGCCACACTTTATATTATTTTTAAAAGATTTGTTTTAAAAATTTATTTGAAAGAGTTACAGAGAGGTAGAGACAGAGAGAGGTCTTCCATCCGCTGGTTCACTCCCCAGATGGCCAAAACAGCTGGCGCTTCACCGATCCAAAGCCAGGAGCCAGGAGCTTCCCTTGGGTCTCCCACAAGGGTGCAGGGGCCCAAGGACTTGGGCCATCTTCTGCTGCTTTCTCAGGCCATAGCAGAGAGCTGGATCAGAAGTGGAGCAGCTGGGACTAGAACTGGCACCCATATGGGATGCCAGTGCTTCAGTCCAGGGCTTTAACCCGACGCGCCATAGCGCGGGGCCCTATGTATATATTATTTAAAGAGTAGGCCGGCGCCATGGCTCACTAGGCTAATCCTCACTAGGCTAATCCTCCGCCTTGCGGCGCCAGCACACCGGTTTCTAGTCCCGGTCGGGGCGCCGGATTCTGTCCCGGTTGCCCCTCTTCCAGGCCAGCTCTCTGCTGTGGCGCAGGAGTGCAGTGGAGGATGGTCCAAGTCCTTGGGCCCTGCACCCCATGGGAGACCAGGAGGAAGCAACTGGCTCCTGGCTTCGGATCAGTGCGGTGCGCCGGCCGTGGCGGCCATTGGAGGGTGAACCAACGGCAAAGGAAGACCTTTCTCTCTGTCTCTCTCTCTCACTGTCCACTCTGCCTGTCAAAATAAATACATAAAGAGTAGGACAAAATTACAATGCCTAGGAGTAAAACTAAACATATATATATGTATATACTCACACAAAAACCAAAACCACCCTTACATCTTTTTCTAGTACTTCTAAAAATTACCATTATTAATTGCTGGCATTAAGCGCTCTTACCTAATGTTTGCTTAGTGTCTGTGAGATACATATTTACCTTGCTGCATGAGTAACTTTCAAAATAATGGTTTCTTAAGTGCACTGCTTTGTGCTACCCTCTCAGACTCTTATTCCTTTGCAGGGCATTTACACAGGGAATGGGATTTTTTTTGTTTTGTTTTGTTTTCATTTTGTTTGAAAAGTAGAGGGACAGAGATCTTCAGTCTGTTTTTTCCCCCAAATGTCTGCAACAGCCAGGGATGGCCAGGCTGAAGTCAGGAGCATGGAACTCAATCTGGGTCTCCCGTGTGAGTTTGTACCATCATCTGCTGCCTCCTGGGCTGCATTAGCAGGAAGCTGGAGTGGAAGCAGAGAACCTGGGAATCAACAAGGCAGTCTGATATAGGATGCAAATGTCCTAAGTGGTGATTTCCAGCTGCACCAAATAGAAGGAAGGTAGTTCTGAAGTCTTAGTCGGGGCACTGGACAGAGCCCTGAAATAAGTTTGGAGAGTTTAGTTGATGAACAGTATTCCATTGTATGAATATACCATGTTTGGTCACTCATGTGATAGACATTTAGATCATTTCCAGTTTGGGCTATTATGAATAATTATGCTTCTATACTCATAGGCAAGTCTTTATGTGGACATGTTTTCTCTGTCCTTGAGCAGATACTTAGGATGGAATGGTTGGGTCATATTGTAAGTTTTAAGAATGGGCAAGTTGTTTTTGAAAATAGCTCTGCTGGGAAAGACATTTGGCACAACAGTTCATACTATGCATCTCAAGAGGCAGCAAGTGATGGCTCAAGTTCCTGGGTCCCTGCCACCTATGGGAAAAAGTTAGATTGAGTTTTGGGCTCCTGACTGTGGCCTGACCAGGCCCTGGATGCTATGGGCATTTGGGAGCAGACCAGCAGATAGAGGATCTTCCTGTCTCTCTCTCTGCCTTTTAAATAAATAAAAATAAAATAAAAATTATTAAAGGTTGGAAAGTAGCTATACTGTTTTACATTGCCACTGGCTAAAGATTCCAGCTCCTCCACATCCTTGCCAACACTTGAAATTGTCATTTTTTTTATTATCAGTGTGTAGTGGTATCTTATTGTAAATTTAATTTTTTAATTTGCATTTCATTAATGACTACTGATGTTGAGCATCTGTCCATATACTAACTGATCATTCATATATTTTGTTTAATGAAACATTAATTCAAATTTCTTGCCTATTTTAGTAAGCTTATTGATCTTTTTCTGAAATTATTTACTTATTTATTTTATTGAAAGACAGAGAGAGAGGGAGAGAGAGGGGAGAATATGCCATCTGCTGGTTCATTCCCCACATGCCTACAACAGCCAGGGTTGAGCCAAGCTGAAGATAAGAGCTGGGACTCAATCCAGGTCTCCAACATGAGGGACAGGGACCAACTACTTGAGCCATTATGACTTTCCCCTAGGGTATGCGTTAGCAGGAAGCTGGAACTGGAAGCAGAACTGAGACTTAAACCCAGGCACTCCAATATGGGACATGGGTGTCCCAAGCAATGTCTTAACTGGCACTGGATGCCTGCCCCTATTTCCCTTTTTATTATCAAATTGTACTCATAGTAGTTCTTTATATATTATGAATACAAATCTGTTGTAGACAACTGCCAAGGTGTTTCTCAGTGATTCTCCACCTAATATTCATATTACTATATGGAATATTCATACAGTATTACAAGTGTTCCAGGATTGGTGTATGTTACTGATAGCATATAGAAGCAGAAGAAATATTATGTCATCTCTGAAATTAGGTTTGGAAAAAAAAGGCTGTGCTTTCAGTCTTAGACACTGGCTCTTTTGTTTTCTTTGTTAGACCCCTCAGTCTTGGGGAAGCAAGCTGCCAAGTTGTGAGAAATCTTAGAGTTCCATGTCGTAGGAAGCTGAAGTTTTTGACTGTTATTGATTGAGTTGTGTCCCTGCAAAATTCAGAATGTAGCTATATTTGGAGGTAGGGCACTTGACTTGAAGAAGTGATAAAGCTAAAATGAGGCTGTTAGGCTGGCCCTAATCCAGTCTGAGTGGTACCCATTTAGAAAAGGCAGTTTGGATGCAACAAGAGGCACCATGGATGTGCACACTGGGAAAGGACCGTGTGAAGGTTCAGGGAGAAGGTGCCTCTGTGTGCCATCAAGAGAGGCCCCAGAAGCAAAACAAGAAATCTGCTGACATCTTCGTCTTGGACGTCTAGCTCACTGAACTATGAGAAATTAAATTTTTGTAGTGTAAGCCATTCAGTGTGTTCTATTTTATTACAGCAGCCCCCAAAAGCTAATATACTGGCCAGCAACTAGCAAGTAACCGAGGCCTGCAGATTGTTATGTGAGTTAGCTTGGAAGAAAAATCTCCATTACTTATCCAGCTTTGACATGATTATAGATGTGGCCAGCAGCTGCACTCAGATTCCTGACACCCAGAAGCTGTGTGAAATAATAAATTTTTTAAACTGCTAAGTTTATAGTTAATTGTTACACAGAAATAGATCATTAATGCCAAGTCCTCATATGGTTAGCAGAAATTTTCCCCCAGTCTATGGCTTGTCATTTTCTTAGTTGAATTTTTACAGTGCAAAACTGTTACATTTCAATCAAATGCAATTCATCATTTTTAAATGAATTTTTTCATGTAACACTAATATTTTTTCCTAACCCAAGATTTTGAACATTTTCTCCTCTGTTTTCTAGAAGTTTTATAGTATTAGCTATCAAATTTGGGTCAATAATCCAATTTTAGTTTTCTTTTCTAGTGATTTAAGTTCTTTTTTAATATGTGGGTATTTTATGTCAAAGCATCATTTGTTGAAAAGTTTCCTTTCCCCTTCAACTGCCTTAACCTTTTAAAACATCACTTGATTTTAAATATGTGGGTATTATTTATGGTCTTCATATTCTGTTTCACTAATCTAAATGTATATCCTACACCAATGCACACTCTCTTGATCATAACTATAGTAAATTTCCAAGCCAGGCAGTGTAAGTTTTTCTTACTGAAAATTTTATTGGCTATTCTAGGTTCTCTACATTTCAATATAAATGTTACCGGTAAATCAATTTCTACAAAAAGAGCTTGCTGGGATTTTGGTAGAGATTTTGTGGAATACATATATCAATTTGGGGAGAATTGGCATCCTAACGATAGCATGTCTTAAAAGCAATGAAAGTAGAAAGTTGTCCATTTATTTAGAAGTCTTTAATTTCACTTAACTATGCTCTGTAGATTTCAGTATACATATGCAAGTTTTTGCATGTCTTGTGCTAAATTTTCAAAGAGACTTCAAAAAGCATGGGAAAAAGAAATTAAAAGATACAAATTAAAAATATGAACTTTATTTTTCAACATAAGCTCCATAAATTTTAAGACACTTTTGTAAGCAGTGAGACAGGCCATTTAGTCTGCCCCTAAAGAACTTAGGGTCCTTGAATTTAACCAGGTCAAAGCAATCTTTAACATTACTAATTGAAGACAAATGTATGTCTTTAAAGATTTTCTTGTTTAGACAGCAAAAAGAAATCAGAAGAAGCCAAATCAGATGGTAAGGCGAATG